GAATGAACTTGGGGGGTGGGAGTGGAGGATCTGGCTATCACTTCTTTGTAATGGTTTACTTTATGGCTGAAAACAACATTGTGAGCTTAGACAAAGGAGGAAATGCTATGAGAAAAGCCAAAGTAAAACCAGGGTCTGTACTTTGAGTGATACAGTAGTTTGCACGTCTAAAGGACCTGTCCTTGTCTAAGTAACTCAGATGGAAAAAGAAAGAAAGAAGCAGGAAGAAGAAACAACAGAATTATTTCCATAAGGAGCAAATGGTAATGTTGGTAAGTAGTATCAAACATTTTACCCACTTCAAATGAAAGTAAACACTTAATTAATTAAATTCCTTAAACATAATATTTTTTATAAAAAGAGAAGTAGGCTGATAGTATGGCTGTAATAATAATAACAATAAGAACAGTAGCAGTAACAACCATTAAGGATCCGACTCATAGCGACCCCTCCTTGGGTTTCCAAGGCGGTATCTCTATGGAAGTAGATTGCCCAACCTTCCCTCTGAGGAGTGAGTGGCTGGTGGGTTTGAACTGCCAGCCTTCTGGTCAGCAGTCAAATACCTTAAGCACTATGCCACCAGAGCTCCTATCATGGATATACTTGGGTCATAATATAGCCTACCCAACATCTTAACACTCAGGATCTAAAGAGTGTTTCAAACTTACTCATTCAGTGTCTGAATGTGAACTAGATACCAACATTGAAGTTGTTGAATATAGGAAACACTTTCCTAATCCACTTACATCTGTACTAACATATCACTGTAAATGTTCTACTGAGTGATGATACTCCAGGCTTTTTAACTTCCTAATCCTCCAAGCAAGATCCAATTCTTATCCTTGTACTTATTAAACTCTTAAATATTTTTCTCTAGCAATAAAAGTAAAAATAACAAAGGGTATTCTGGTTAATAAATGATTAACTAAAACTTCCAAATAATGAAAAACCTGTTCTGATTAATAAACATTTTACAATCTCTTATTTTGCTTCAATTGATAAAAATTATTCTTATTAGATATGTGTTCTCAGGCCCTAAACACACAATGAGTTCTTGTTGGCATTCTCAACAAATCAGTGCAAGCTGCTGTGGAGAAACCAAGCCCCACAGTAGCTGAAAAGAGCTGGCATTTGGGAGTTTACACATGGTTTCTGGTCTAGGTCATGTGCAGACAATGATTTTCAAAAATGCTAGATGCCCAGAGTCAGAATGACATAAACCCCAGACTAAAACAGAATCATTTTGTAAGGGTGACCGAGCAGGGTCCTACCTGGGAAACTAGCCATTGCAAAATGACTTACTCCAAAATGCTGCAGAATGAGGAAACGTTTTGCTCAGTTCCTTCAATTTTTGCTAAAATCCAGAGACTACATGTGAATTTTAGGACAACTTCTCTCTAATCTTGGGAAGGAACCTACACATTTAGTGGCTACTATAAACCTTAAATACTTCAAATATTTGCAGTGTTACCTGAATTCAGGCAATGAACAGATGTGCTGATAAATTTAATTATATTTACACAAATATTTTCTAGCTTAAACTGCTCTTCAGTTTCAGAAAATGTGTTTAGACCATATAAAGCAACCAAACAAAAAACAGATTGAAAAACAAGTATTTTCCCCTTGTTGATTATTTTTAATCAGGTTAAACGTAGCTCTATCTTATCAACATGTTTGCTATGAGGAAACTTCTGTTCTTTTTTTAGATTTTTAGAACTGCTTTTCCTGACAGAACCACCACAACTGAGAACCCTGAACTGTAAACTTGTCCTTTGTCCTAGTTGTTTACTGGGCTTATCAGGGCACACATGGATTGGCAATGTGATTCCAAGATAAAAATCCCAGAGATATAATTAGATGTTTTTTCCGAGAAATATTGCCCAATGTCATGAAGATGTATTTACTATTTTCACTTCATATTTGAAGTGATTACCCCACAATTTCTTGCCATTTAATCATTTTCTTATAGCTGAATGAGAAAAACTAACTTGGTATTGAAGGAAAATATATACATTTTGATAACACTTAAAATACAAATCTTATCTATAATTCCACAGATAATGCAATGCTATAATGTTATAACTCTTATATAAAACTTTTGTGACATGACACCAAATACACTTTCTACACTAGTAACACACCCCTTAACATTTATCAAAGCATAAGTATAATGATGAAAGCTAATTTTAAGCCCCTGAATCTAAATATAAATGATAAATGATAGAAAGATCCAAAGGTAGTGATATACTAGCTTCTTGATGATATCTTACTGATGCATTTAGTTCAATTAGTAGTAAAGGATATAAAAAGACAAAGATAGGAAAGCACAAATGTGTACTTGCTATGTTGCAGACTAACATGCAGCAGCCCAGGCAAGAATGGCGCCAAAAGCATCTCTCAAGTTTTCTACTGAACTCCATCTTCACTGGAGATTGACAATCAGTTTTGCAAAAAAATATCTTCTACTGCCACCTGCTGTATTGTTATAGTAAATGATTCTAAAAGATGCTGGCATGACAAATGCCAGATTAAAGCAAAATCTTTTGACTTTTAAAGCAAGAATAATCTTTGGATTATCATCTATACCTATCCATTTATGAATAATAAACTCTAGAAGTACAGAAGTAGAGCCAAATTTGATCACATTTGGCTTCACTGCTGACTCACCAACCTATTATATACCACATAGTTCTAAAAGGAAGTCAGGGCCTATCACATTTCTGTTCTTCCCTTCTCCATAGAAGTCATTCCATTTGGTCCTACATCAGCAAAAAGATTTGAAACAGAATGGTCTTGGTGTTGGTAGTATTTACTGCTCAAACACTCTGGGGTCAGCTACAGAAGTTTCATTCACTCAGCCAAAGAATCACAGACCATGACCAATTTTTGAAGACTTCCTTAGAGGAAATATAAAGATTTATATCAAAGGATATAAATCTAAGGATTTCAACATAACAAGGATGGAGGATCCATGGCTAAAACTGGAACAACTCCCATTGGCAAGATTCTGTAACTGGAGCAATAAACACGACTTTAAAATTCAGAAAGGGTGGGTCCACGTCACTGCAGTCAGTTTTATTCTCTTCGAGGGTCTAAGAATTTTTAAAAAGCCATTTCTAAAAGATTTTATGGAAGACAATTATTCCCTTTAATTCAGAGGTGTTTGAAAAATCATAGTCGACAGGTAAACCATTTCCAGAAAACAGTGCTTTCTATTAACAACATACCAATTATTCCTGCCAAGAATAAACTATAGTAATTATTTGGTAGCTATTTCAAGCCACAATTCATACATCATATGACTTTTCATACCACATTGCATCATATATGCTAAAAATATACCAAAGAATACGGATTTGACTAACCATTTTCTCTAAAATCAGTGTTAAGTAAAATGTGAATCAGAAGGCAATAGCCCAACATATAAACCCTGGGTCTTTCCTACACATCCCTAGACATGAGCAAATTTGTCTAGGACACAGAGGAGTTGTCTGTAATTCTACAGTGCTATAATTAAGTCTTGTACAAATTCTGCTGCCAAAAACTCACCAGAGTGGGTGGTGAATACAGCCAAGTAAACTCTAATTATGGAAGGCGCGTTTTCTAAGATCTTGCATACAAGAAGCAAAGGCAAGATCAGACAGTTAAGACAGGTTACCAAGGCAATGTAAATGGCCTTGTCAAATTCAATGTAAGCTCCTTTCAGTAACAGGTAGTTTAAAAATGCAATCTGGGTCCCCTCTGCTTAGAAATCAGTTCTTAATTTGCTCCCTAAAAAATACAGTTATGAAATTTACACATCATTATAACAAAAAAGGCAAAATCCCAAAGTCCCAGCTAATTTTCCATTTTATATTTCAGCTTCTTCACTCACTTTTATTTTATAATATGCTATCCAAAGTTCAATAAAATGTTATTTTGCATTCTAAAAGATAGTGTGTCAATCATAACTGTGCAGTCAATTTACATGTATCACACACAACCATGTAGCCAGCACCCAATCAAGAAACAGAACATTGTCTGCACTCCAGCAGTGTTCCCCCCATCCAGCAAATAACATTACATAACATAAAGTTCTCTCAGTATAGTATATTGTCATTATCACCATCTCTAATTAAAGCCTTAAAGTAGAAGTGATTATGACTATGACTTTTCCCCTTTGCTCATGCAAACACTTCTTTCTAGAAAGATGTTCCTTCTCCTTGACAAAAACTCCTACCCACTGAAGGCCCAGCTCAAACATCACCTCCTCCATGAATACTCCCCTGCCCTTCACAGAAAAGTATACTGTTTCTTCATCTATATTTAAAGATTGGTTTGTAAACTATGTTCATACTTAACCACACTGCATTATAGTTATTTGTATGTCTATCTACTATTCTAGACTGTGAGGACTTCATGAACAGAAAAGGCAATTAATTTTATCTTTTGGTTTGTCTTCTATGCCTTAAAGTGTATGTTTTACATGGTGTGTTAATGAATGGCAAATCACATTATTTATTCTACAATGAACCTGAACAATTTTTCAAAAGAGTATTTCCACCAAACTGTATCCCATAATATTAAACAAAATAAAATACATTATCTAGATGTTGTGAAATACATATCATTTTAGTAGCCCTCCATAGAAAGAATTTATAACATAGCATAATATTTTATTAAAATAGATTAAATATGTTGAAGTTCAGCATATACTTAGCAATATATTTAATATATATTAGTTGACAATGGGATGCTTTGTGATAAGAAGCTTTTCTTGTAAGCTATGGTATTAGGTACTTTTCTGAAGAAGGACATTCACAAATACACATCTGGGCCTGATGCTCTCATTTCCTTATACTTCTATCCTTCTGCTATCCTCTTCCACAACAAAGCTAAAAAAAAAAAGCTTATTTCACCTAAGTTGAGATTAAAGTTTACTAGTACAATCAGTTTAAGGATCACTGATGAAGAAACATAAACATCTCATGACAAGTTGGAAAATGTCAGAACTCTCCTACCTGTGTACCTAAGCTTGCTGCCATCATGTGAGTCAGAAGTTTAGCTGCAAACATGGAATACCTGGCACAGAAGATATGAGAAAGAACAGCCAGGCAAAGACCTGTAAAAACAAAAAAGACCATGTGTGGTTTTCCAATCCATGAAGAGATGAACGGTATCATGCTGAAAATCTTTGGGACAGTTAAGTACACAAAGACTGTAGCCTGCTTATTTCTGGAAAAAAAAAAAAAAAAATTAGGTTGCAATTTTAATTACTTCATTTTGCAGGACATAAAAAATCTTCACACTTATCAGTTAAGTCCGAAAGATAATTTTAATTTTAAACTATCTACATGCTCACTTCTCTGGCCAAAAGAAATTATAAATTGAAAAGATAAATAATTTTCACCAAGCATTTGGCATTCTAAGTTTACATTAGTCAAGTTGTATTGTTTAAGAAAAGAACAAAATTTTAATTTTGTAAGAACAAGTCATTTGGCTAAATAGAAATACAGAGGCAAATAGTATTTTTCAAGCATAAAACTGTGGATAGTACAAACAAAACTCAGGTTCGGTAATTACCTCTTTTTACATAGTAGGAATAGTTACGTAATTACAACAGTTGTAATCAGGAATTTAAAAGGCAAATTTCTGCACTGGGTGCCAAAACCAGAAACAATATCTGTTCTTTCATCCTGCAGTGACTTTTAACTTGAACATGAACATTTCTAACTGGTATAAAGAAAATCATACTTATTTTTAAATCTACCTGAATTCACCAATTTACACTATTTTATGGGCATAATTAAAACCTCAGCTATAATCCATCATCTATCTTGCAATTCATTCAAATGTTTCTAATGTTAGGTTTTAAACTCTAAGTATGCATATTTTTAAAATACTTCCTGTTTTTTAAATTTAAATGCAGTACATAAAGAGAGGAGGAAAAAATGATCATTGGTAACCATTTGCTTTCTTATTTAAGCCTTTTACTGCATTATTTTCCTCAGTATGGTTATTTTATCTAAGAATTACCAAAACACAACAATTGACATGTGTGTCTGCTTTGCCATGTACTTTACATACATTACCTAATTCAGTTATGTTAACACCTCCTTGACAAACAGAAGACACTGAATTTATTTAACTATTTTGTTTGGCTTTGGCTTCTCATCTGATCTGGAAGTCACGGAACACACTTTATAAACATATTACATGTTGACATTAGTGGACTGGATATCTCCAAAAGGCCCACATTGGGACTGATGACTCATTTTCTATACATAAATCTCTCCATAATTCCTCTTGGGAAAAGCTTTCAATTGTGTTTTCAGATTTTAATACAGTCAATAAAGCTTCACACAGGAGGAGAAGGAAGGGGAGACTGTATTAGTCAAAGCTTTCGGCCCAGAAATTTGGCCAAGATATCTGGAGCAGTACATGTTTAGGAAGGCTGCCATGGGGTGTTCTGGAACAGGTGTGTAGGTCCTGAGGCTGCCTTCAAAATCCACCCACACAGGTAGAAGGTGTATCTTCAGAAACTGCAGAGTCCTGTCTGATTTTGCACCTTTCCTTAGGTAGTCTATAAACTATTGCAGCTAAAGCTTACAGCTCATTAGTGTGCACATGAGTTCCATCTCTAGTCAAAATCAGCTTTTACTGAAGATTTGTGTGTGTGTGTGTGTGTGTGTGTGAGAGAGAGAGAGAGAGAGAGAGAGAGAGATTGAGTAAAAACAGGGTTATGGTATTTTTTTTTTTTTATCATAATCTACTTGATCACAAATATCTGTCTTGTTTTAAGTTTACTGCAGTAGATGGTAACAATATGAGGCAAGAGGATTAGTGTTGTAAGAGAGAAATATATATGACTCAACTCCTTTATAGTTCACAAGAAGAATTTATTCATAAACATTTCCTTTAACTTGATAATCTCCCATTGTACTCCAGGTAAAGATTTAGTACAGTTAAATTTTACCAGCTCAGAAATACTTGGTTAATTACATTAAGTGCTGTTATTGATTAAGCTTTGTCCTTGCTTGCTGAAAACAAAGAAGACTTGAAGCACTTATTGATGAAGGTCAGAGACTACAGTATGAATTATATCTCCACATAAAGAAAACAAAAATCCTCATAACTCGCCCAATAAGCAACATCATGATAAATGGAGAAAAGATTGGACCTGCCAAGGATTTTGTTTTACTTGGATCCACAACCAATGCCTATGGAAGTAACTGTCAAGAAATAAAACAACATATTGCTTTGGGCAAATCTGCTGCAAAAGACCTTTTTAAATGGTTAAAGGGAAAAGATGTCACTTTGAAGGCTAAGGTGTGCCTGACCCAAGCCATGGTATTTTCAATAGCCTCAAATGCATGAGAGAGCAGGACAATGAATAAAGAAGACCACAGAAGAATTGATAAATGAGTGATGGTGTATATGAAGAATACTGAAGACTGCTAGAAGAATGAACAAATCTATCCTGGAGGAGTACAGCTGGAATGCTCCTTAGAAGCAAGAATGGCTAGATTTGTTCCTTGTACTTTGGTCATGTTGTCAGAAGGAACCAGTTTCTGGAGAAGAATATCATGCTTGCTAAAGTAGAGCATCAACAAAAAAAAAGGGAAGACCCTCAATGAGAGGGATTGACATCATAGTACAGTGGCTGGGATAGTGGGCTCAAGTATGGAAATGACTATAAGGGTGGCTCAGGAGCAGGCACTGCTTTTTTCTGTTGCACAGAGGGTCAATATGAGTCAGAACCAACTTGAAAGCACCAAGCAAAAACAAAATATATGTTGTAAATCCTAACATCTATGCCTGTGGCTATATTCCCAATTGGGAATAGGTTGTTTTATTATGTTAATGAAGCAGGCTTACTGCATGGTATGTCTTTAGCCAACCTTTTTTGAAATATGAAATAAAGAAGCAGGCTACTGAGCAGAGATGGGGTAAGACAGATGTGAAAACACATGGACATCGCCAGGAACCAGGAAGCTGAAGTTGAAGAGACAAAGACAATCTCCAGAGCCAACAGAGAAAGAAAGCCCTCCCCTAGAGCAAGCACCATGAGTCTGAACTTCTAGCCTCCTAAACTGTGAGGAAATAAATTTCTATTTGTTAAAGCCTACCACTTGTCTGTCAGTTTGTCAGACTGTGGTGGCTTGAGTGTTGCTTTGATGTTGGAGGATATGCCACTGGTATTTCAAATACCAGCAGGGTCACCTATGTTGCACAGGTTTCAGCAGAACTTCCAGACTAAGACAAACTCGGAAGAAGGAAGGGGTCATCCACTTCTCAAAGCATTGGCCAGTGAAAACCTTATGAATAACGGTGAAACACTGTCTGATATGTTACTGGAAAACTTGATGAATACCCTTGAAACACTGTCTGAGTTAGTGCTGGAAAATGAGCCCCTCAGGTCAGAAGGCACTCAAAATACAGCTGGTGCATCTTAAGAGTAGAGTCAACCTTAATGATGTGGATGGAGTAAAGCTTTCAGGACTTCCATTTGCTGATGTGGCATAACTCAAAATGGGAAGAAACAGCTGCAAACATCCATTAATAATTGAAGCATGGAATGTACAAAGTATGAATCTAAGAAAATTGGAAGTTGTCAAAAATGAAATGGAACACATAAAGATCGATATCCTAGGCATTGTTGTTGTTGTTGTTGTTATGTGCCATCAAGTCAGACCTGACTCATAGCAACCCTTCCTTGGGTTTCCGAGGCAGTATCACTATGAAAGTAGATTGCCCCATCTTCTTTCCAAGGAGTTACTGGTGGGTTTGAACCAACACCCCTCTGGTTAGCAGTCCAGTGCCTTAGGCTCTACACTAGGATTAGTGAAATAAAATGGACTGGTTTTAGCCATTTTTAATCAGACAACCATTTGCTCTACTATGCCAGGAATTACAAACTGAAGAGGAATGGCAGGACATTCATCATCACAAGGAATATTTCAAGATCTATCCTGAAGTACGATGCTCTCAGTCATAGGATAATATTGATATACCTACAAGGAAGAGCAGTTAATATGACAATTATTCAAGTTTATGCACCAACCACCAATGCCAAAGATAAGCAAATTGAGGATTTTTACCAACTTATGCAGTCTGAAATTGGCCAAACATGCAATCAAGATGTGCTGATTATCACTGGTGACTGGAATGCAAAAGTTGGAAATGAAGGAGAATCACCAGTAGTTGGGAAAATGGCGTTAGTGATAGAAATGACACTGGAGATTGCATGAGAGAATTTTGCAAGACCAATGACTTATTCATTGCAAATACCTTTTCTCAACAGCATAAATGATGGCTTTACATGTGGATTTCTCCAGATGGAGTACACAGGAATGAGAGTGATTACATGTGTGGAAAGAGGTGATGGGGAATCTCAGTACCTTCAGCCAAAACAAGGCCAGGAGCTGACTGTGGAAGAGGCCATCAACTACTCATAAGCAAGTTCAAGTTGAAGCTGAAGACAAAACAAATCTACTAGAGCCAAAATATGACATTGATTATGTCACTCTTGAATTTAGAAACCATCTTAAAGACAAGATTTGATGCATTGAACACCAATGACCAAAAACCAGAGGAACTGTGGGATGACATCAAGAACATCATCCATGAAGAAAGCAAAATGCCATTAAAAAGACAATAAAGGAAGAAAAGACCAAAATGGGTGTCAGAAGAGACTGTGAAACTTGGTCTTGAATGGAGAGCAGCTAAAGCAAATGGAAGAAATGACAAGATAAAAGAGTTGAACAGAAGACTTCAAAGAACGAGAAGACAAAGTCAATTTGAGATGTGCAAAGTCAATAATGAAATGTGCAAAGACCTTGAGTTAGAAAACCAAAAGGGTAGAAGACAACTGGCATTTCTCAAGCTGAAAGAACTGGGAAAAAAAAAAAAAATCAAGCCTTGAGTTGCAATATTGAAAGATTCTATGGGCAAAATATTGACTAATATAGGAAACATCAAGAGAAGATGGAAGGAATACACAGAGTTACGGTACCAAAAAGAAATGGTCAATGTTCATCCATTTCAGGAGGTGATGTATGATCAAGATTTGATGGCATTAAAGGAAGAAGTCAAAGCTGCACTGAAGGAACTGTCAAAGAA